GAGGAAAATGGGGTGAAAAAGTGAAAGAAAGGAGATGAAACTCAAGTTTGAAAGCTTGAAACCTATAACAATGGTGGAAAAGAGGAAGAAGAGAGAGAAGGAGCAAGAGAGAATCAAGAAAAAGTGGACCAAAAATGATTTTTAAATATGCTGAGTTCGTACCCTTTGCTCGAGCAAAGGAAGCTTGGCTCGAGCGGAGAGAAAAAGTTCCCAGAATCTCTGAAAATCGCACAGTTGGCTCGAGCGAAGAAAAACTCGCTTGAGCGAGCATGCTTCCAACTAGGGCTGTGCAAAATACCGCCAAATCCGCTAAAATTGCACCAATCTGCACCGTTCTAACCATTAACCGCGGTTTAAATTTTAAAATTTATAATTCGCCAATCGAACCACTCCGCTCCGCTACAGTTAATACATATACATTTTTGAACTTTCAATGAAATATTAATGTAAAAATGAGTGTGGAAGAGATTTAAGATATGAATTTTTTTACAAATTAGTGGTTATATATATGAAACATATTATGTAAAATTACTTTGTGTTATATATCTAAAAAATATTATACAAATTAGTGTTATATATTATGCAAATGTATGATAATTAGTTAGACTTTTTTCAATCCGCTAATCCGCCAAAAACCGCTCAAACTGCAATTTTTCAATCCACTAACCCGTTAATCCGCTATTCGGTTTGTAATTTTACTCTCAAATCGCCCGAACCACACCGCGCACACCCTACTTCTAGCACAAAAATTCAAAATTGAAACAGGCATAACTCTCTCATTCGGACTTCGTTTTAGGTGGTTCTTGTGTCCAAATCGAAGCCTCGGAAACAAGATTTCCAATGGTTCTAGCTTCACATCCAAATTTGAAGTGTAGAAAGAGAAAAAGGCAAAAGAGTGAAGGCTGTTCAAAAACAAAAACTCAAATTTGGGGCTTTTGGTTCTTGTCTAAATTTCTTGTTAAGGCTTCAATCAAGGTTTCAAACATCACCCAAGGGTCCTCAATTATAACATTTAAGGTTCACTTGCCAACCCATCAATGCCAAGAGCCCGACAACCATACAAATTTTAAGGTGACGGGCACCAATTTACACCAATCCGATACGTATTAGAATCCGAGCCATTACAAGTTTTGTGTTATGAACCAGAGTAAAATTTTACTGTTGAAAGAACTGAGCATCATGAGAAGAAGAAAGAGAGATGAAGAGACATAGTTCGAAAATAGAGGACCAAGAGAAGAAGAAGAAGAAGAAGAGAGAGAAGGATCTCAAATTTGAGATCTGCGAACCGTCACAAATTGTCATTTTTCGGAGACGACAATTGTGACTGATCTCAGATTTGAAGTTGTGGATACAACAAATGATGGTGGTAATGAAGACGGTAGAGAAAGAGTTCTATGGTGAGCGGTGGTGGTGCCGATGGAGAGCAGTGATGTCATTGATGAAGAAAATAGTGATAAGTGCGAGATAGAGAAAAGAGGGATTGAGATGAGAGAGTGATTACAGGTTGATACACACACACACATATATATAAGGGTATTATAGTAAAATAAATAAGTTTTAAAATGCTAAGGGCTTTTGAAATGATCTATATAATTCTTGTCCTTTTGAAGGACAAGTTAGACACGAGGGTTTATCACCAAATCCCCTTACTTTTATTCCGTGAGATCTTTTTTTCCTAATTTATGCTGTTTGCTAGACTGTTATACACTTATGTCTATTATTGATATGTACTATATAGAAAAATGATATATGCATTTCGTTTTTGTTGCTACCTCTACTTTGGTAGCTACCATTATTCATGTTTTTCTTTTTGATCAGTTTCATTCTCATTCGTGATATTGTTTCATTGTGCTAGGGTTTCGAAACTCTCTATTTGGTAGGGTTTAGAAACTCTAGTTTACACATGGTGGTGAAATAATATTATATTCCTCCATTGTTGCGGTGAAGTTTTGTATTCCTCCATTGTCACTTTATGTTCAAAATTCTGTATTCGTCCATTGTTACTCTGTGTTCGAAACTTTACGTTTCTCCATTGTTGTAAGTCGAAATTCTGTTTATGTTCAATCAATTTTGTTACAAAAATATTCTTCAAAGGTGAGTTTGGTTTGATTTAGAATAGTGAAATGGTGAAATTGCATAGATTGTTAATGATAAAGATGATAATGATGATGATGATTAGAATGTAGGTGATACTTTTTTACTTTTAGAATGATTGAGTTTTTTTTTTTTTTATTTCTAATTCTATTACTACCATTATTTCTATTTTTTTGTCAATTAGTATGAATTTTCACATTTCACATTATTTGAAAGTTTGATAAATAAATGTTGGAATACAGATATGTACATAATTATATATTTTGCAAGATGTGAATGTTCATATATCATTGGTTATTTGTTACTATACTTATTGTTTGAACAATTATTTTTTGTTACTATTAAACAATTGAAATAGTCATTTTTTTTTTCAATTTTGTTTCATGTTGCAGTGTGAATGTTCACATTGATATAAATTTAGTTTTTCTAAGGTTAACTGTATGTTAATTGTAAATTATAAATATTCACATTGTATTTTGGTATAAGTTTTTTATTTTATTTTTTTTGAATTTTTTTTAAAAGTTAGTTGTATTTTGTTTTTGTTTACTATGCTTGTTAGTTGAACAATTATTTTTGTTACCACTAAACAATCGAAATGATTGATTTTCATTTTTTTCAATTTTATTTTATGTTTTCATGTTGCAGTATAAATGTTCACATTATATTTTGGTATAAGTTTTGTTTTTTCGAAAGTCAATTTTATGTTTGTTGTTTTTGTTAGTATACTTGCTAGTTGAACAATCATTTTTGTTATCATTGAACAATTGAAATAGTTGATTTTTATTTTTTTTTCAATTTTGTTTTATATTTTCACGTTACATTAATATGAGTTTATTTTTATTTTTATTTATTTTTATTTTTTTTAAGGCTAGTTGTATATTAATTATAAATTGTGAACATTCACATTATATTTTTGTATGAATTTTATTTTTTTGAAGGTTAGTTGTATGTTTGTTGTTTATTGTAAACATTCACATTGTATTTTGATTTTCATTCATATTTCTGTTGCATTATTTTATATTTTTTCAAATAATAAAAAAGTTTAAAATTCATAATTTAAGATTTTCTCTATGGAATAAGGGATTATCTCTTTAGAATGATGGAGATATTTTCTCCATAAAATGAGGGACAAATGGAAGTGGATTGGGGAGTCATCATATTTATTGTTATGTATTAGTTTCAAAATATAAACATGTGTAACAAATTAAAAATGATGATTTGGTCATATTACATTAAACATAATTTAATGAAATACTCAAAAAAAATATGTGTTAGATAGAATAAAATGCTTAAAAAGAGAATTCATCAAAAAATGACTCTACTTTTAATTCTTATTAATTTTATTTTAATTTTTAACTAATCCATTGACCAATTAATGTGAGGGACCTTAAAAAAATTCCTCTATTAATTATTCCTTATCAAGTGTCACTTGGGGTTGAGCATGGTCGGTTAGCCGTAAATCAAAACTAACTACTATCTACTATTCTATCAAATGTGGAACTAGACCAATTTATATCTACTATTCCATCAAATTTGAAACTAAACCAATTTATAAAATCTTAGAACCAATGTAAATCGAATTACTAAACGTCGGTACAGTTTGGTTTGAAATCACAAATTTTAAAAATATTATCATTATTCACAATATGAATACAAAATATTATTTGCAATTTAAGAATTGTTTACATGATTATTTAAATATACTTATAATAGTAGAAAGTTATAATTTATATATATATTTAATACTAATAAAATATTTTAATATTTACATTCGGTAATAAATTATATATATACGAATTGATTTGCTTTCTTAATGCACAGTTCAATTTAATTTTTGAAATAGACAATACTTTATGATTTGATTTGTGATTTTATAGATATAAATTCTGTGGGGACATATTTTCTGAATACCAACACGTGGCATGGTGACGCCGACGTGTTAGCCGAGGTGCCACGTGCCCTGGTAGTTAAGCCGAGGTAATCTCGGAGAAGCCAAGGTCATCTCCGAAGATGTCGGAATCCGAAGATAAGGGACAAGAGTCCTGAAGCAAAGAGGGGACTTAATTAAGATAAGGATAAACCTCTTAGGGAGTTTATCTCTATCTCCTAAAGAGTCCAGAGTAAGTACTAAGATTGGGGTACATAGAAGTCATATTTCTAGTTGGACTTAGATTGAGTATATTATAAAAGAGAGGCACCCCGTGGGTCTAAGGTATGTAATTCATACTTTGAGTATTCAGTTTAATACTTGATTATCCTTGAGAAACATACTGACTTGATCGTCGGAGTGCCCCCGGGTGGAAGAACACCGCCGGAGCTTTTCCTTTCTGTTACAGGTTGCTGGAGCCATCTATTCTGCCGGTGCTTTGCTGCTGATCACTAAACGGGCAGTGTGGTCAGATTTTTATCCACACAAATTCAATTGAAATCAATTTATATATATATTTAATACTAATAAAATATTTTAATATTTACATTCGGTAATAAATTATATATATACGAATTGATTTGCTTTCTTAATGCACAGTTCAATTTAATTTTTGAAATAGACAATACTTTATGATTTGATTTGTGATTTTATAGATATAAATTCAATTGAAATCAAATTGCTTGGGCGACTATTTAACAAAAACACAAGTTTCTGCAAAGTTTTAAAAAGTGAAAAAATAATTAAAATAGTTTGTTCTGAAAACAAACTTGAGATACTTGTTAGCATAACCTAAATAAAATAATAAAAATTAAAATAAAAGGTATGGTTTATTATAAAAATAAAATGAAAAAACATGCCTGATTAAAGCACCACTCATCATTTATATAAAAAATCTCTCACTTCATTTCACTATTCCCCACTACCACACACGCAGACACTCTCTCTGGCCCTTTTCTCTCTCTAGAAAGCAACAACAATGGCAGCCCTCTCTCAATTCTTCTCCCACCTCTATACCCTGACCATCATCTTCTTCACCATCCTCCTCCTCGAACTCGTCATTCTCGTCCGCTCCCTCGCCTCAAACTTCAACACCTCCTCCGCCTCCGATCCTCCGCCGCTCTCCACGGCCCACTTCCTAGATCTCGTCGAGGAAAACATTCCGGCGAGCCGCTTCAGCCACAACACCACCACCGGTTCGAGGATCGAACCTACCGAATGCGCGGTCTGCCTATCGATGGTGGAGGAAGGGGAGGAGATTAGGAATTTGAAATGCAATCACATGTTCCATAAGGTCTGCCTCGATACGTGGCTCCAGCAGGATTGGGCCACGTGTCCGCTGTGCCGGACGGTGGTGGTGCCGGAGGAGATCGTGATGAAGTACCGGCAAAGGCGTAATCATCATCATCATCATCAGGATCAGTACGATGGGAGTGATGAGGAGTTGATCTTCTTGTTGTCTGCGATTCACGGTAATAATTTGCATAGGCTCTTGTAATGTTCCTATTTCATGCTTCTCTTTCTCTCTCCCCCTTTTTTTCCTTTTTCTTTTTTTTCTTTTTTTTGTTGTAGAGCTATAGATAGTTTGTAGATACAGCATGAACCTAGTGTGTGTGCATCTTTTTAGTGAAACTTTCATGTATATGATTTTCTGTTCTCTATAATGATTTTCTTTTCAATTTATGTTCATATCATATGCAATGATCAAAGGGAAAGTTTTTAATAACTCTGCTTTTTTCATATTATTGTGACTGATTGAAAATTTTGTAAGAGAAGTGGGAAATATTGGGGGGGGGGGAAAAATCAAAATAAAATAGAAATTTCAGTGGGAATTGAAATTTTAATATGAAATTGTCTATAAGAAAATTTACGTTTGATTTGAACACTGAAAATCACCGTTACATTGTTGTTATGCTGCATTTTGGATCTACGTATGATGATCCCTTTGCCGACACATCTAATTTAAAGGTTAAATCCAAAATATTTATAATTTAGATAAATATGATCCAATAAATGGACTTCAATTGTGAAGTGATTTTCTTTTTATATATTTTATTTTATTTGTTGTTTGTTTTTCTCAACTCATTTTCATACTAGTGCAAACCTACCAGGAGTAGGTAGGTCCACTTTAAAATTTCAAGATTGTTAGGTATAGAGGTTGGGAGGATTTGATCCATGAGAGTTAAAAGAATTTGGTACAATTCCTGTCTTTTTTCTCTCTCTCTTTTCCTACTGATATTCTTAAAAGATATGCTTCAAACTTAAAAAGAAAAAAATAAAATTGAAACACTAAAGCTGTGTTTGAATTATAAATTTAGTGGGAGATTTATAGAAGGAAAGAATTTTCATTTTTCTTTGTAAATGACTCCTTGAATCTATGATCTAAATACCTCCTAATAGAAAGGAACAGGTATATGAAATGAGAGAACTAGCTTTCTTGTTTTGGTTTGGTTGGGATGGAAAATAAGAAGAAAAATCAGCAGGTAATTGTCAAAAGAAAATAAATTTTTTTCATTTGGTTAGGTATATAAAAATGATTGCGTACGAGTATTTCTGTTTTTTATTTTCTTGTCATTTTGCTTATTAAGGGAGGGTTTTGGGAAGAAGATAAAAAGTGATTTTTTTTTACTTTTGACCAAGTTTTTAGCTTTTTTAGACAAATAATTTGAAAAGTTGTGAAAAGTTACTTGTGGATTTTTTTTATTAATATTTGTTTATGATGTCAAATTACAATAAAATGTCCAAACAACCGCCATTTAATTTAAAATATTTATAACTTCACCTATGTAATATATTTTGATTCATAAGAGATAAAATTATAATCTCACGAATGGCTAAATATCAACTTTCCAAATGCCTTTGAATGCAAAAAGTTAACTTTTAGTTATTGTTACAAACTCGAAAAAGTGAAAAAAAAACTATGTTTCCAAAAAGCCCTAAATCATAAATCCAGCATAAAATCATTTCCATCTTTTGCAACTGTTATTTTTTTCCCTCTGCAACTCAAAATAATGAAATTCAACTGGGGAAGGCAGGCAATGTGCAGACAGAGGGCTATTAATGTGGAAAGGGTGAGTTAGATGAATTTGGTAAATATCAGGTTGTATTTATGGTATGAATCATTGCGAAATATTATATTGAATAATGAGATGAATAATATATTCAGAGAGAGAGAGAGAGAGAGAGAGAGTAATTTTGGTATAGAAAAAAGGGTCAGTATCATGTAGAGATAATTTGAGAACGAGGGTAAGAGAAAAAAATCATGATTGGTTTGCTCTGTTCTTGAATCTATATTTTCTACTGATTTGATGAACTGTCTGTTTTATGTGTTTTAAGTTTTTGTGCCAGAACAATCACTATGGATGTGGGCTTTTGGTAGTTGGGTGCTTCATGCAATTGCTCAATGTGCTTCTTGTTGTTGGCCTCTTTTTGTATTCAATTTGGGGTTAAAAAAAAGCCCTCCAATTTGGTTATATAATTTCAAAGGGTTTAATTCAAGTCCTTTGTTTGATCGGTTATTTATTTATTTGTATTGGCGAAGAAAATTTTATTAACTCAAGAATGGAAGTTACATCTAGATAAACATCAAGAAAAAAGATTAAGGAGTCTGGTTCTTTTGGTTGATTTGAGAGAGAGAGAAATTAGAACGAGTTTTGAGAGAGTTGTAGGGAGTTTAATCATTGATAGGGATAAGAGTAGGGCTGAAAACGAGTTAAGTCGAGTCGAGTTTTAGTATGTTTGGAATTATTTATTAAAATTTTAACGAGTTTGAATCCGAGCTTAATAAAATTTTAATGAATTGAGTTCGAACCAAGTTGATTTAGACTTGATTCGAGTTTAAGCTTGTTCACGAGACTTAACGAGTCAATTTTTTTTTATAAATTTATACTTACATATGAGACTAGAGTTACAATTGAAATTTTGATTATATAATATATATATATGTGTGTGTGTGTAAATATATTTTAAAAAAAAGTCAATATCTTAACAAAATAATAATATCTACAATTATTATTATATAAATGTATTATTTATAGTTAATTATTATTTACATTTATATTATTTAAATATACAAATAACATATTTATTCTTTTTTTATACATATTTTTACAGTATTTAATATATAAATAATATATTTATTCTATTATTTAAATAACTATTAAACAAGCCAACTAACAAACTGAACTAATGAGCCTTAGTCATGTTTTAATATGTTTGAATTTATTTATTAAGATTTTATTAGTTCGAATTTAATCAAAATAAAAATTTAACGAACCATGTTCGAATGAGTCCATATCGAACCGACTTTGAGTCTGTTCACAAATGACTCTATTCATTTGTAGCCCTAGATAAAAGTTAAAATTTTTGTATCATTCTTAAAATAGTCCACACAACATTTTTCATCAATTTAGAAAACGAAAAATCATGAAAGGTACATGTCTAAATTTAAATACAAGTCTTAAGGTCTTGTTTGGGAATTTGTTATTTTAGTAATTTTTTAATTTTTTATAAAAAGATGTATAGAAAAATAAAGAGAGTGATGTTGTAATTTATAGTGATTTTTTAATTAAAATTGAAAGTTGTCAAATAAAACCTTAGGATTAATTATTACAAATGAAGAAATGATTAAAGTGAAATTCTAATATGTAAAGTACACTAATCTCAAAAGAGTTGTTCTTTTTTTTTTTTTTTTTTTTTTTTTTGGACTGAATCTCAAAAAGAGTTTAAAAAGAATGAACTGTACACATCCTTATCCTAACTTTGAAATATTTTCATGTGAATCAGACCCGCATAGTGAGAGAAATTATAATTTACCCAAGAAAAAAAATGAATTTTGAATGCTTTGAAAGTGGCTTTATATTGACGTTTCTCGAACAGAAACCAAAATGTCTTTTAAAGTATTAAAGCTCTATAGATAACAAGACCATTCAAAAGACAAAACCGGAAGGAACAATCCATCTAGATTGTATAAAAGAAAATTTGAACACGGAAAACAACTGAGCTAACATAGAAATTTTATCTATAGGGTTAATTTGAGCTCATTAAATTAATTGGAGTCTAATCAGAAAGCCCATTGCATTCAATAGAGGTGAAACTCTTAAGATCCATTCTTCGAGGTATTTGCTTAATCTCGAAAGGGTTTAGAATTATGAACCTAGAGACTAAACTTGGACTCGAAAGGTTCGGATCTACGAACCCGAAGAGCCAAAACACTTGGTCTCAAAACACTTGCAGGCTGGAAACTTTCTGGGATTGATGCACCAGAACCATGGACGTGACAGAGTCCAAACAAAGGACCCAATCCCGAAGACGGTGAGTGGAGATAAATTCACTTTTAAGTTAAACTAGCTTATACTCGGGTCGCGGTGGCACGATCTAGGAGGTCTTCGAGACTCGGCAATGTTTGTGATAAGGTGTTCTCTTGAACTACACTGACCCTTCTGTGACATGGTGTCCTCTGGGACTACCCTTGACTCTTTGAGATGATTAGGGATCATTGGTTAGACATGGTTAAGAAGAAGGATTCACTGAGGTGATCTTCTATTCGGGATTTTTTCTCACCTCTTTAGACAAAGTGGTTAGAGGGCACATGGGCTTCATCCTACAATCAAGAGATGCCTATAAATAGCATCCACCTATAACTTTATAAGGGATGAATTTTGGAGAGACAATTTTTGGGGAAAAAAAACTAATTTCCCTTCTCTATTATCTATCTTGAGAGTGAAAGTGGGAGATCTATGGGAAAACCTTACCATTATTTTCTCTCTAACTACTTTGTATTTTTCTTCACCCAATCTCTTATCTTCATCATCTATTTGCTATTGTGTTTCTAGTTACAACCGTTGAAGAATCTAAGCCTTTCATCATTTCTAGAAGATTTGAAGTTTCCGGTGACATTCGAATTTTCGACGGACATTCGAAGATTCCGATAACTTTCAAATTTTTTGGTGACATCCTTGGACTCTCTCATACACTTAATTTAGACAATGCTTGTTTCTGGGATATTCAAACCGAGGATAAATTTGAACCTGGTTTTTATATATATATATATATCTGAGTTTGAACCTGGTTTGACAATACATTTTGATTTTGTAAACCTTTAATCTATTGGCTAGTCTACTTTTTTTCAAAAGTGAAAACAATATTTACCAACTGAAAATTTATTAGGTAATTCTGGAGGGTAGAGGCTTCACTCCAATTTATTAGATTATGTTTATTTTCAAAATATAGAATGGTATATTTTCAAAATTATAATTATTATTCATTTTTTTTATAACAAATGTGATTTAATCTTGTGTTTACTATTATTCAAACAATTTGATTTTTTTATAAGAATAATCTTCTTAGCAGGCCTTATAATATGAATTATCTAGGTAGATACTATGATGGGTTCACAAGAACTTAATAACGGTAGAGAAACCTCTCCCACTTTGGTTATCATGTGATATATTGTTTATCTGATGTAAATCATTAAATAGATTGAGATCCTCTCTATTT